TGAACGGGAAACATTAACTAAATAATCCTAACTCATCATTCTGAACTGATCGGTATACATTTTCTCGGACTAAAGTCACATAAACAAGAAAGGTAACAAAAAATTAGAGAAAGTCTACGGAAGAGAAAAAAAAATCCATCAAGTAGAGGTAAGAATATTGAAAAAAAGATCGAGATGCATTTTAATTCAATATTTATTGTTTTAATACAAAAATTAAGTTTTTTGTCTTAAAAATATCATTACTTTTCTGCTCTGCAAGCTTTCAAGCATTCACAGATAGATTACTGATATCTAAACATAAAACATGCACATCAACAAAAACACATTATACTTTCTTCGATCTTCCATTAGCACATGACAACACAGGGAAACCCTTGCATAACAATGACTGCTTATCAATTTAATTTGCCCTCCTCCTCTTGCACCACCCAAAAACTTGAACGAACATTTAAAGGATTTTATTGTGATAAAACTAGCACCGTTATTGCTAAGACGTATGCTTTTAAGGATTTTTGCCTGCGGTCAAATAACACTAAGCGGAGGCATTTATTTATCTCGCACTTGACAGATTTCCTGCGACACCCAAACTGAGTTTAGAACACCCTCACAGCGCACTACTACACACACGCACATACTTGTACATACGTGTATTTAGTCAATAATACGACTAATGCACTATTCAAACTAAGAAAATAAATGGAAAGCGATAAAATGCCTTTTGGCGTCTACTTAAGCAACACCTTAAATGTTGTTATTATTTGTGTGAATGTGCGCGTGTATGTATTTGTGTGTGTGGATGACATCAGTTAGGCGCAGGTATGCTGATTAATGTGAGATACGGTCACGCAAACACATTTACGTGTATGTTGTGCGCTCTCTTAGTCTCAGCTAATAATCCTAATTACTGTACAAATGTCCACAAATGAGTTGACACGCCAACCATGCTTAAGGAAACGCTCCACCCTCCAATGGAGAGCTCAGCATTGCTCAATGCACAGCCAAACAAATACACGCCCAACCCCTTTCGTTCATTGTCGGAGCTTGCCGTGATATGTAAGTTTGTGTGTACATACCAATGTATGTATAGTGAAGAGCAAAATATTTGTGCGAATTTCTTAGATAGTTTTAGTTATTGCGCGATACCTAACCGAAATTCACTATATCTAAACAAATCGAATGTGCATGTATGGCGGCTATATAGTCCTTCGATTTCGATGATATTTGGTTTTAGTTTGTATTTGTATATATTTTTGAAGAATGTAAATAAAATTCGTGCTGTTAAATGTTTTCTTGATAGATTTTTGGGCCGAAATATTAGATCTGAAAAATCGGTTATATATTTGCCATAGTGGTCCGATGTGTCTCGTATTCCAGAACAAAGTTTATATTCTATTTCATGTCAATAAGGGGTACAACCACTTAGGATTTTAGAAAACGAATTTTTTTTTTGCTCACAGCGTATCTTTGGGTCTGGAAATGATATGCAATGGGTTTTTGAAGTGAAAAAAAATATTTCAAATAGCTGAACTTTTTATTTTGCTGTAGCCTCTCCGAGCGTGCGCTGAATACAATAAACACTTTTTACACGTTTTGCTCAAAATTACATTTTTCAAACTGGGAGCACAGATTATTCGGACTCTATTGCATCGATTTATCTGAAATTTTGATGGTAGCTTCGCAAATACGTTTTTTTAGAAATACTCGTACGTTTCCGTTTTTCGATTAAATGTAAACTTTTTAGTCAAAAATCAGTTCTTTTAAAAAAGTGTGCCGCTTTCACAAAAATGTTGGAAACTAAATCCGTACGTACTTTCAAGGACCATAGTTTGTAGGTCATACAGCTTCTCGCTTTTCTGTTCTAGGTCTCATCCAACGCGTAGACGTCTTTAAAAAAATACTGATTTGATAATGGACTTTATCACCGCCATTTTGTAACAACAAAACAATTAAAGAATATTTTTTTTCATACTTCAATATATGCTCAATGAAATGGTATTTATCCAAAGAAATTCTATTGCCTTTCCCGTTTTCCTACAATAAATTTTTGAAAATAAGTCTATATTTCAACCTCTAGACAGGCTTTAATCTTAAGAGGAATAATTTTATAATAAGTAAAATTAAATTTTTTAATGTTTTACAATTTGATTTAAATGGGTTTCATTTAATTATTCAACTTAGTTTAATTAGCAAAAATATTTTGCTGGACTATATACTACATATAATTGGCGCTTTGTAACCGTTTAAGCGATTTTCTGCCGAGCTCCTCCTTCAATTTGTGGGTTTGCGTCTAAGCCGTCTCCGAACGGCTCATGTTTTTTTGAAGAGGAGCCTTTGTCTCATGTCAGAAATACCCTCGTAGGGGTCGTAGGGTGAACGCAATCAGAAAATTTAACATAATTTTTTATTTAAATTAATTTTCTTTAAATTTTTGATGTTGGTGGTACCAGAAACATTTTACTGGACTTAGCCAAGATAAATCATCATTCACTAACTTTCGCTCGTCAGTGTAAATAAGTGTGTGTGTTTATTTGTGACATTTCATTTATTCGACTACTCAACATTTAACTATTTCCAACGAAGCTTATCATCAGTTTGTCAAGTCCTATAAGTGCAACCACCCGCTCTAACCCCCACACACACACCCGGTTGGTGTTAAAACGTATGCTCCTTAATTGTCCTTCGAAATGTGTAACAGGAACTGCCTGCGAGCCCACGCTGAGTTAAGTTGTATAATACAAATTGAATTGTCAACATGCTAGGATTCATGATTTTTAATTTGTTGACAAATCGTTATGTTGCGGGAACTATCGAATGACACAACAACGACAATAACAAGAACAACAAATCACTATAGACTCAGCTAAAGTAGAGGCTAAGTGGGCAAAATCTCTTTTGAACCTTAACATTTTTGAGCATTGATTTTTGTTTTCCAAATCCATTTGTGGGATTTTCTTCAACTAACAACAACAAATATCAATCAGCATCAACAATAAGAATAATAACAGCCGGAGTAGCGGCAGAGGGCACAGCAGCGCTCAGAGCGAAGGAAAAAAAAAACAACAAAATAAATTCGTTCAGAGAGTTTGCATACATTTTTATGGTTTTAAAATAAACACATCATCACTCAATACAATAGTCAGAGGGTTGGTTGGTTGGCTGAATGCAGCATAAACCGCAGGGCAGCTCCGCACAACTTCCCACCACGCCAACGGGCTCTGCCACAGCGCACACACAAGGGCGAGCGTTAAGCTATCCTCGCGGGCATAATTTTTGTTACACTTCTATCATGCTAATATTGTTGTTGTCTCGATTGTTATGGTAGAGGGCAACTTTCAACGAAACTGCGCTCATCCTTATTACTTGATCCTCGAGACGTCTGCTTGGCAACTTTTATATCCAGCAAAGCAATTTGATTTCGTCTCTATTAGCATGCATTAGTGAGCGTTTATGTATGGAATATATGTACGTACGCGTGTGTATATGTGTGAATTTGTTTGCTTGTTATATGTATATCGTGCATGTCCTTAAACACCATTCATACGCCAAATACCATATCCACAGCCAACAGCCAACAGCCAACAGTCAACAGCCGGCAAACGACTTTGTTTACATTGCAAATCAAAATGCGATCTCTGTGGTGAGCAGACGCGCCGTGCCCAGCTCAACAATCCCACTATTATTGAAATTACTTAAATGAAATGATAATTTTGATTTTATGTCCGCTTACATACATATGTACATACACGTATATCCTTTTTACGAGAATTTTCAACTTCTTGTGGCATGCTAAATACATATTTATTTGCTCTTGTTATTTTTATTATTGTTTTTGCTCCTGCTGCTGTTGTTGTTGTTGTTGTTGTGGGTAGGAAGCCTTTCAATTAAAGCGAACAACTAAATAAACAAAGTGATTTTCTCAAATGACTGCACTCAATTGGTTTCGCGCGGAAAAATCAGCAATACTCGCAATGGAAATTATCTTATTACACGTACATATGCGAGTACATACATACATACACATAACCATAACTGTATGTACATAAGTATGTATATATGTATGTAAATAAGATAATGAAGATAAACCGAACATACATACATATAAACATATTGCACATACACATGTACGAGTATCGGAGTTTTCTTCTGCACCCGACAGGCAAAAGAACGTTTGGTTGGTTAACGAATAACATGGAAAACAACAACACAAAATAAGCAACTTAAGTCATTTAACCAGTTTGAGTTGAATTCGTTTAAGTAACCCGAACTGACTAACAGTGTTGCTAAGTAAAGAAGTGGTACTATTGTGAATGGGCCACAGAAAATAAACTCAAGCTCAAATATACTATTATTTTTTAACAAAATATATTTATTTTGCAAAGGGTCTACCGAATAACTCATATAATAATGATTTTTGGATATTGGTCAGACCAGGAGCCGAACTCTGGCATTCCGATTCTGAAATTAGTTTTCGCGATTTCATTTTCTTTATTTTCAAAGATTTCAGTATGTGACTAGACCCATTTATCTACAATACAATTTATTTTCTGAAATTTCTGATGACACTTTTAATGCAAATGTATTCAGCTCGTCTGTAAAAAAATTTTGACTTTTCCCAGCACTTTTTCCAAAATTTTAAATTTATTTATGAAAAAGTCAAATTTCTGTTCATCTGCTCAAATTGATAAAGAGCTTGATGATTTCAAACAAACATTTGAAGAGTTAACATATACTCGTATTTTCATTGAATATTATTATATTTTTTAAATTTATTTCCTTTAACTCTACAAAGACTTCCTGTTTTCACTATTTGCTGCAATTGAGCGGACACTTTTCTATTTGCCCGGGAATTCCAAACATTCCCAAATGATGAGCCAAACGCTTTCGACTTTCGGTTGTTGTAAGCTATTCATCACTTGCGAGTACTTATGTATATGTATGTATTATATACTTTTATGTTCATGGAAATTCAGCTAATAATTTGCTAGTTTTTCAAAACTCACCTCCACACGCTCCTCCTTCAGGTCGACTTTCAGTGCCAATTGTTCGCGTAACACCACATCCGGATAGTGTGTCTTGTCGAAAGTCGCCTCCAACTGTTCCAATTGTTCTTCGGTGAAAATTGTACGGTGGCGACGCTTTCGTTTTGGCGGCGGCCCATGTCCCAAATGATGCGCCACATGATGATGCGGATGGTGTGGATGGTGCAAGTGATGTGCGTGATGCGGATGTGTGTGCGCTGCCAAAGCAGCCGCCGCCGCAGCGCCATGTCCGCTCACGTGTGCTTGCATTTGTGCGGCAGCCACATGAGCCACCGCGGCGGCGTGCATGTAATTTGGATAGAAGTTCGGATATGCAACTGTAAAAAAGAGTTGAAGGAAAAAACTGCCTTAATTAACATCAAATTTTGGATGGTGGTAATTTACATATATGCACATTAGGGTGGTTAAAAAGAAAAAATATAAAGGGGTTTTTTTTAAATTCTCTTGCTGCCAGCATGCAAAATTGATAGAAAATGCTATTAAATTGAAGATTGAATATTATTTCTGTCGAAAATAAAATTTATTGAAATATACGTGTACGTGCACATTAAAGTTTTCCTGGTAAAAAGGTGTAATAATTTGTTAAAATATCCACTAAAATACATGAATACTTTTTAAGTTGATAAAAATTTTAATCCAATTAAAAATTCAAATTTAGCTCCAAAATTGTTTGAAAAATACTTCCTTTTCTGTAATGCATTCGAATTAAGCAAATCAATATATATATATGTATAAATTTTCTAAAACAATATTCTCGCTTCTGATTCCAGACCGAAACACTGTTAAAATTTTATTAATTTAGGCCGCCTGAGGGAATGTTCTATATAAATTTATATGAACTTTCGAAGTGCTTTAGACCATTTGATTTTTACTACTCAAATTCAAATGAATAGTAATGGGAAGCGCATATGGGTTACCCTAATTCACATAACAAAAATGAGAGGGCACATTAAAGAATGTGTAAAAACTTTCAATGCACAAAAAATCCACCAAAAAACATCATTACTCTACGCTGCTTGCAATATGATATTTTTTAGTATAAGAATCGCAATAATAAAAAACCTGGGAAAAAGCATCGCCATAAGTGCAAGCGAGTTTACACATATTTTTTGCGCAACTTTTCAACATTTAATTTGTACTTGCCATCACCAGTTCGTACTTTTTTACTGATTTTTTGTTGATTTTTTGTTGATTTTATGTAAATTAAAGTGACTTAACGTTTGAATAATTTAACGTCAGTTGAATATTTAAGTCATTTTAGGGATATTTTATTTGTATTTTACTTTCAGCTTGGTATGTGCATGTATATTTGCATGCACTAAGTAATATGCAGTCACTCCGTGTTTGCTCGAATAAGCATAAATCCTTGACAGGATCATTTTAAACCTGCCCCTGGCTTTAATAGAATATGAAAAGCATCTTAGAACCAACTTCCTTTTGTGAAAATATTTTTTATTGCAGAAATATGTGCCAAACACAGACACTTTAACACCGTAAACATTAAAAATCATCTTTAACGGTTCATTGCGTATTTACGCGTAATTCATACAAACCTCAAATCCTTTTTACGATTTCACGAATGCTAAGAGGGAGAGTGCAAGGAATTCCAAAGAATTATTACAGCTCCGCTAATGCGTACGCAAGTGTTGTAAAAATTGCTGTAAACCAGAGAAAATGCAAATATAAGCCTAAAAATACCTTGAAGCTATTATGTGAGACCAATGAAGCCGGAACAATGCTTCTGCTCAGATTTCCAATTCATCTCCCCACACACGCCGCAGCTGCCGAACTTGCAGGTGGTGACGTAGGAAAGCTTTGTTAGCGGTGGTGGCTGATTTATGTGATTTATGTGCGGAGCGTTAAGGGTAAGGTCATAAGCGTGTTACTTATGGTACAAAGAATTAGTCTTGTTGAAAGGTATATAATAAGTATATGTATATGCTACATACAAACAAGTGGTAAATTGATTACTGCAGCTCTATCAGAGAAGAGTGCTTGGGAGCTTAGACATTCAGCATTTAGATCTAAAGCTTTTTATCTGTCTGGCGTTTTACATACTTAGACGTGTAAGAAGAAGAGGAAGCTAAGCATTTGAAAATGGTATGAAATAGCTACACGTGTAGGTTAAGTTCCAAGGACGAATGCGAGTATTTTGAGCCCACAAAATTTCCTCATAAAATTTCCTTACTTTTATATTTTTTAGTTTTTTATTTTTCCTGTTCGTATTATTTATGTGCTATACAACTTTCTATAAAATCTTCACTAATCTCTTGCATTGCTGAAGTGTTTTTCGACTGAACTCCTCCTTCAATTAATGACTATGCCATCTGAGTGTTAGACGCGCTGCTAACTACTCGGCATTGCGGCCGCACCTGCCTCTTTATTTAGCTAAGTGTACAAATATGTAGATATATGAACATGCATGACTTCACCGAAATATCAACACCAACTTTTCTTGAAATCCCAATGAGTTTTGGCTAACCTTTCACACATCGGTCGAAGAGGTTTGTTTGTAAAACTATCAAATATCAAAGCACGCTCTGGCAACTTACCCAAAAAGTCAGATGGCGAGGCAGCAAAGCCACTTGCTGCAGCTGCGGCTAGATGACCCAAATGCAAGCCAGGATGCTGCAAGATGGCAGGAACTCGTTGCGGTCGTGTGGGACTTGTAGCCGCTGAGCTGGAATTGGAGCTCGGGGAGGCGGGCGAGTCAGCACGTTTTGTACCGCTTATACCTATATGATTATTACAATTATTATTATTGTTGTTGTTGTTACTACCGCCATTGCTGGTGTTACTATTTGCTCCCCCTGCTGACCTTGAACCGCCCAAAATACTGTCAATTGTAAAGAGTGAAGCAGCAGCCGCCGCTGCGGTTGCAGTGCCTGCCGTGGGTCGGTTGGTTGGACGGTCCTCATCCATGATGGTGTTGCCCGATTGCGAACCATCGTCCGAGGAGGGTGTTTGAGATTGGGATTGCTGCTGCTGGTGTTGATGTTGTTGTTGCTGTTGAAGATGGTGTTTTTGTTGCTGTTGTTGCAAAACCGATTGCAGTCGTTGTCCCAAATAACCGCATTGCTGCGAGTTCAAAAGCATCGCGGTCGTCAAGTATGCGGCGTTGGTCGTATTCGCTGGCGGTGAGCGTGAATTTTGGCGACTCTGATGTATTTGCTGTTGTTGTTGCAAGTGTTGTTGTAATTGTTGTTGCTGCTGTTGCTGCTGATGCTGAAGCTGTTGCTGATGATGCTGCTGCAACTGGTGCTCGCTAAGCGGGCTCCCACCAGCGCCAACCATGCCGACGGCATAACGTTTCAACACAGTGCCGGTGGGCGGTGTTGTTGTCTCAACCATGTTGTTGGTGCTGTTATTGTTGTTGTTGTTGTTGTTGTTGTGGTGATGTAGTAAAGGCGAATTGCTGATGTCGTACTGCACGTTATGCGTTGTCAACGGCAGCGACAATGACAATGAGGCCGGTGGTGTTGGTGGGGGTGATGTCGGCGAAGGGCTCGGTGTGCTGACGACGGTTATTTTGAATTTTTGATGTTTGGCGCCTTTCGAGTCCAGTCCGCCGACCAACTGGGTGGGCGCGTTCCACAATGAGGACAGAATTTTGACGAATTTTATTTCAACTTGATCACAGAAATATTTTTTTTGGAGTCAACTTTCTTTTGTTTTTTCTATTTTCTTTAATAACGCGCACGAGCTAGTGCAGTTACAACACTATTCATACGAATACATACATACAAGTGTTTGCTAATAACTCCACAATTTTTTTAGTGATTTGTTTATTTCTTCACATTAAATAATTTTTTTTGATTTAATCTCTTAACACGGCTTACTCACTGTTTGACCACTGACCGTTTTCATAAACGCGCATTTCAATTCTGCTTCACAGGCGAAACAAAGTTTTGTATTTACTCCACAGAGCTCAAATGCGACACAGCTCGTTCTGTCAACCAACCCTTCTGACACGAAATTCGAAACTGTTTGGCATGCTCTTTGGCTACACTACCAACACTGGCATCGCTCGGCCAACCAGCCATACATACAAATGTTCAGCCACGCATCCATGGAATCAAGCAGTCATTCGTATGTTAAACCTGTCAAACAGCTTCTAATACCGGACGACATCTTTAATGCCACCCTCCACGCGAAACTAGTTTGAGCAGAGCATTTCAGGTTTCAAGCGGGCCGCCAAGCAGGCAGGCAGGCAGGCAGGCGAACAGCAAACCATATAGCCAATCAGACTACCCCGAATTCGAAGCTGACTTTGCGCAAGGAGAGCTAATCCGTTAGGACACACCTATTCGTTGGCTACCATGTTGGAAAATAGGAAACCAACTGCCGCTCTCACGAGAGCGCGTCATACAGGCTAACAACAAGGGAGGCAATTCTCTTTCCCTCACACACTAGTTAACCGCCTTTCAGTGGACAAATGTGCACAGTGGCCATTCTTACTTGAACAAAAATTTTACTTTTTGTTTGGATTTTTTAAGTTTAAAAAGTAGTAGTATTTGTAACTTTTTTAGTTTCGACTTAGAAAATCTTTAGGCGTAATTTTTTATTTGGTTCTTTTAATGAGGATATTTACTTTGTTCCGCTAAAGTGTTCTACAAATTAGTCGAGTTCGAAAAGGATTCGAATTTGAAAAAAATTTGAGAAAACTGTAAATATTTTCATTTGAAAAATTTTAATAGATCTAGGATCACGAGGACTAAAAAAAATAACTTTGGTTCGAAGTATGTAAATAAGCGGAGGAGAAGAGATGGAACCACCAATATTCCTACCAGTTTATCCGCTTTCTATATGCGTGTGACCCGAAACACGTGGGATATTTGCAGGGATATTCTGCGATAACCTGTTAACTGCCTCTTTGAATGTTCTTACCTATTTCGATTTTGTGTTGACCCAGTTAATTGCCTTATTCGCCTCATGAATATATACCAAAACCTGATGAGATCTTCCTGTTAAAGCGATTGATCATATTATATAATAAGTTTTAAAATACATCAAGATTCACTAAGGAGCTTAGCCAGTGTGACAGCAATAAAGGTGATTGAAATTTCAAAAATAATTTCTTCTTGGACCAAGAATGCTATCAGTACCTTGAGGTATCCCAGAGGTGGCCTTAAAGACATAATATCTCATATTCTCTGTTTCAATGAAAGAGTATCTCTTTAGAAAAAATGGTGTAGCCATCAAACTGAAATCCGAGAAAGACAGGCTAAATCTGAGACAGTAGAACGAAAGCTATTAAAATCATCTTGGTGCAGACTAATGGGAAAAAATAATTTTTCCTTGACTTCTATATCGATAGGCTGCGAACAAGTCGATACTTTGGCAATAAGCATATAATTTCTTATACAATTTTTGTTAAAAGACTTAAGTGACGGGGATATTTTGAACAAGTACATCTAAATGTGTGAGTGTTCTTCAAGACTGATATTTTCATTTAACTTTATTAAATTTTGCCTTCTAGTTTAATGTCAAAATTTCAAATGCAATTTTTCGCCAAACTATCCCACTGTCACTGAGCTTGGCAGCAGCCACTCAAGCTTGTATGCCGCTAGTGTGAAATTGTTTGGGGTTGTTTTCGTTGGATACGCCTACTTCGACGCACACATCCAAACTTAGCATTAACCCAACTCTAGGTACATACATGTATGTAGGTGAGTGTGTATATTTATTTGATTCAATAATGCTTTAAGAGCACAAATAGCCTCACATCAACAGTGAAATGCTCACTGACAGCAGCGTGTATTTAATATGAAGATTCTACAATGATATCTGTGAGATAATTTCTGCTTCCGAATCTCATCATCAAACACAACACCCCCATGGGAGCATTAAATATGTTCGATTCGGTTGCAATGCGCGCTAAGGTGGACCCCTGTGCATATATGTATGTATGTATGTATGTTTGTAAGTATAATTTGAGCTTAATAAACATTTTCGCCAACAAAATTTCTTTGCATCAATTACTTACGTACATACTTATGTACATACATAGTCATTTACATAGAAACGAGCTCTCTTCTCTCCATTATCTCTTTGTATATCTGTTTCAGTGTGGGTATGTGTATCCTCTTCAGTTTATTATGATTTCGGATGTTAGGTATTTACTTAATGGAGGTTACATATCTATGCTATATGTACATATGTATGTTTGTACTGAAGTGACAAATGTGCAGCTTTTTACAAAACCGTCATCTCACTCGCACTTTGGCTCATTAAATGAAATTGCTTGAGAGACAAGATATCCCCAACATTTGACTTAGCCATACATTCACACAATCATGTATATCCATGTGTATGTACATACATATGTAAATTACGACGTGTAGTTTTCTCGGATCTTGAATACGCTCTGTACGCCTTAAGTAGATAATGACTAAATTAATGCTTTTATGTTTTTTTTGGCAATACATAAACAATATTATGCGTTGAATCCACCGAAAGTTAGCGAAACACCCTCTTCTTCTTCCACTTCTTCTTTGTCTGCACTGATTCTTCTCGTCTGTTAACGAAAAGTTAATAAGCAATGATGTCAAAATATCGAATACAAGAAGACATCACAAACACAATTGATACTTACATACTCGTATGTATTTATACGTGAGTATGTTTATTTGTATTATCACATATCGATTTTCTTCATACGAGGATTTTTGTATATATCTCAAAACCATAAAAAAAAGGTTATAACCAAGACATTCGTATATGGGGCTTTATAGAATATAATTATTGGATCGCAAAATATTGTACGCAGTTTCTAAAAAGGAGTAGAAAGTGGGATTAAAAAAATCGAAATTCATTGATTTTGTTACGGTAATATTTACTGGTGCATGAAAAATATGGAACTACTTTGTGAAGACGTGTGGTCGGTGGCTTTTATAATTTTATACCTTTAATGAAAATGGAATAGTATAATAACTTCGGACCGAAGTATATCCGTACCAAAAGCGGATGAGATGAACCCAACTAAATTTTTACCGATGTGATCATAATGAACACAGAACACAGTTGCACTGGTACATGTAAACGATCATTTGTCGGAACGGCCCAGATCGGACCAGCAGCATTCTGCAGTACAGTAGAAACAGCTGCCACTAAGGAATTTATATTCTGTTCAATTAAAATAGATGGAGGAAAAAATTCACTCTGTAAAAGAGTGCCCAAAACTGCTTCGTAGCTTGCTACAGCAATTTATATCTCCACATTTGAGCACTTGAAGAAAATATTGGGATTCACGTAGATGTTTGTCACCAGGAATAGGAGGATCAGTTATCTCCACCCCTTTGGATAGATAAATGTTGACAAAACTTCTTCGTCTTCTATGGTTGTTGAACTCCATATGGATGTTGAAATATCACTTGCAGCCGCCAATTTATTTTAATTCCAGGTCTTTCCTTTGTACTGCTCTTCTATTCAAGATGAGAAAAGAATCCTGTGGCAATACTAGTCCTGATGACTGCCTACTGAGTGGAGCCATTCCATATGTATTAGTTGTATAAAATACTTAATTAAATTATTGTTTTTTAATTGTTGCGGCGATAACTTTACCATATCGAGAACTGTCGTCGGTGCTTAACTTATTCTCAGAAGTTCCAGATCTAATGAACGAGAACAATCAGCAGCAACTTATATACAAGCAAACATACATACACATTCTTATTAACTATTTGCATAAATTTGTTTGTACATATGTATTTGCAGTAATCAGTATCCGTAAAAAAATCATCTTAAAGCGTGAAATTTTTGTTTTCTAAACACGCATATGTATTGGCCGCCAATGGACGGTCGACGAGTGCTTTAAATTGCGTCTAGCTATTCGGAAGACTCGGGTTCAAATTCTGGTTTCCGAAAGCAGCTACCCTTCGGCGAGGAATGCCGGCCTTCCGAGAGTATTTCCGACATGAAATAAAGGCTCCTCATAAATAACCGGATTCGGCTTAGTATAAACTGTAGGTTCCTCACAGCAACACGCAAAACCACTAATTGGATGATGGACTCGGCCCAAAAATCGCTTCCGCAGTTACAAAACCAATTATTATTATTATCCACGTATGCGCCTTTGGTTGGACCTTGAACAAGGGTAAGGTAATTAATCCTTTAGTTCGAAATAAATAAATTTAAAAAAACTCCAAAAAATTTTTCTCTTTCTTTTTAATCACTTTATTTCAGCAACGATCCTTTTTCCATAAATATTATATTAGTGTTTGCTGATGTGGCATCGGCAAAAGCCTCCTTTTCTCACAATTTCTTCATAATTAACTTTTTGTCGTTGTTATTGTTGTTATTGTTGTTGTTGTTGTTGTTGTTGATTTCATATTTAATAAACGGAAGGGTTGTAAGTAGCACCACCCACAATACAATACAATGACAATTTACAAACAAATTTCAATATCATGTTTATCTCTACTTACATACATACATACATAGGTATTGCATATACATACAAAAAGCATTCTGAATTCTTTTAATCAACACAAATTTACCTGAATGTAAATGTATTTGAATATCTGTAAATATGGAGGTCTTTGGTTGCGCCATTTTGTATTACGCACGTACATTTATAGATATATGTGGATGTATTTGAGTGTTAATTAATTAGGCTGAAAAGGTATTTGGATGCCCTCAGTGTTACTTACTTATTTTTTAATATAAATGATAATGAAAAGGCGTAATTTGAGCCAGAAAATACATAAGTATGTGTTAAATAAATATGTAGCCAATCTCCGTTATTTGCTAAAATTGTTTGATATTCCTTATTACTATTAAATAAATATATTTAATTATATGTACATATTTGAAGTTATGAGAGTAACAATTCTTAGATGACACATTTCCAGTAGCTTTTAAGTTTAGCCAATTAATTATTGTTTCTTAACGGTGCATATGCATTTGTATTTAGTTAAATATTGTATAGAATACTTTGCAAAAGAGGGCAGTAGAGGGTATTAGACGTCTGCCGAGGGGCGATCTCTCTTCGAAAAATTAAATAAAAATTCTCGTATCACAGTGTTTGCAACCAAACTCCTCCGAAACGGCAGGATTGCGGGAAATGAACCAGGGTCCGATTTATGCGAGAAGAACTTATTAATGATTCGAGTTACATGAAATTAAATGGATTGGTAGCTTTCCATTCAGATTTATGCTGCAGCTCAAAGAGGCTTATAATAGTTGGAGAGCAAGGTAAGGTAAGTTCTGTTTTATCAAATTAAAAGCGAGAGAGGAGTCTCTCGACGCACAAAAACCAAACTCTACAAGTCGGTCTTCATTCATGTCGCATTAGCGTTAATTATGACAACATCCCATGAGTCGGCACTGGGAGTATGCGAGAGAAAGATTTGGCGTACGATAGACGGTTCTCAATGTGTGGACGACGGAACGATGAATGATAAGCTGTGTGAGATATGACATACATTGACATTGGCATAGTTTAGCGACATAGTTTAGCGAATCGAGTGGCTACCCTGCCGTCTGTGGTCTCTGGCTTTGAAAGTTTTCGACGTAAAACACGACGTTGGAGCAGATGAAAATAAAGAATTGTAATCAATTCAAAGGCAAGTTAGTGCGATTCCTTTTATGCGACAAAAATTTATAAATTGAAGCCAATTTCATTCTCCTCTGTGCAGGCTTTACACGCTGCTGACACTACACTACCTAGCTTATGGATGAAATCTTAGGTGTGGATGCACCGTACACTGCCCACTGTAATTGTCCCTTAAATTTCTTTGTTTCAAATTAAGTAAGATTTTGAATATTTGTTAATTTAGCAATAAATACAAATTAAAATCCTGGGTATTGTAGCCATCTTTAGGCGTCTTAAATTGCTTTTGCTCGAAGTGTAAATATTTTTATTTTTAAAATCCAAAATTTCGAAAAGTGAAAGGGACAGTACAAAAATTGAATTAAGGACCTGTAAACATAATTTCTTTGCGAAACCAACACAATTTAGAGCTGGATTCTTGCTTAATACTCTAATCAGACACGTTATGACTTTAGATTTTGGTTATTGCCAGCGTAAACTAACCTCACTTTTTAATTCTCTACAAATAACTGAAAGATTTGTTTCTTGAAAATGAGAAATTATATTGCTAATTGAAGCAAATTGCCGAAAGAAAAAGATTAAGTTGGCGCTTTTAATTTGAATGCGCATGCATGTCCCGTGCGACATGATTAAAATGTTCACATCAGTTGTTCTAAATAACTCTTTTGCTATTTATGCCGAGATTCCTCTAAAAGTTGTATCCTTTTCCCAGTTTTCATGCATAAATATATAGTCACATTTTAATAGTTGAAAATATATGTCCGCTCTTTGTTGCCAGCTGTCATATTTTTTTTCCCCTAAAACAAAAACATTACATGAAATAAGGGAAACAGTGATGATCTCTTGTTAATTCTTAATGTCAATGTTGCCTGAATTTGTATACGTTTAGACATGCAAATAATGGGAATTTATATATGTATGTACATATATAAGCGTGTATATGTCAAATATGTCCGCTCGTTCAACACACGATCATTAATTTTGCCTTCAATCCAAAGCATCCAGGGTAACTGTTGTATTTACATAGGTATCACGGTCATGTTCACGCTTAATAACGTTAATATTTCGACTATTATATGTATTATGAAAGCAAAATGCCGAGTTTACAACGGAGCCCGCTGCCTTTTCTATATACACACACACACACACACGTACATATTCGTACATACACATATGCGTAATGTGTAAGCACATAAAATAGCTTGGATTAGTGTCAATCGCAGATCAACGCTTGTTTACCGCTATATTTACGCCTCACCTCATATCCAACACACAAGGACATTGGGCTATATTTATTTATGCACACAAAAATGCGTTTACCAACACAGATATGCAATAAAATTAGGCATATGCCCTTAGAAACACACATGCATACACACAATCTATTATATTGTATTTACACATACAGACAGAGCTTGAATTTATACGTAAGAACAAATAGGCTTTCCCGCGCAATCCAGTTCATTTATTTACACATATTTAAGTACACTATGTTGTATACACCTATACGAGGTATGATAATTAAGTACTGAGAGTGATCCCATAAAACGCGTATATTTCAAATTATTCCAGAACTCTGCCATTCCCTTTAAAGTAGCCCCCTTGGGCGGCCGTACCATGATTCCAGAGCAGTTTTCCATTCTTCGTAACATTTCTATAACGCTTCGACTGGGATGTCCGTGAGTTCCCTCGTCACGGCCGACTGGATGTCCTCAATGGACAAAAAATGGGTTCCTTTGACCACCGATTTTGTTTTAGGGTCCCAGGGAGACATATCGGACGAATAAGACGGTTGTTGCAATACGGCGTTCCCTTTAGAAGCCAAATACTGGGACACGCTAAGGGCGGTGTGGCACGGCGCAATGTCGTGATGAATAATCCAGTAACAACCGATATCTGGGTGCACCCTGTTGTCTCGTTTTCGCAATCTTTTGAGCACTTGGCGACAGTAGACTTGATTGTCGGTTTGCCCCGGTGAAAGAAATTCTTTATGGACGATTCCACGGCTATCAAAAAAGGCATTATCATAGTTTTCATCTTCGACTTGCTCAAGCGCTTTCACGCTCCTCCTTAAACTCTGCATACTATCGAAACACCTGGACACGACTAAAAGCATTATCACCATGGACTTTTACAAACTTAGCGTAAGCTTCCGAAGCTGTTTCTTTTTACTCATTACTTTATTGTCACACCTCGTATGTACACATACATACCCCTCGTTGGCATTTAAGGTCGGCCGAGCCTGCTGCAGATTACCTTGATCCGTTGATCCCTGCACATTATACACACAATTATTTTTGAACAATGCATTTTGGCATTGGAGGTTTTATGTTTTCATACAGTCATATACACACACATATATATATATTTGTACATACTCACTTCCCAAATCCATCTAATATTTTGGTTTCCATCAATCTCGAATCAGAAATTTCATTTTGAGCCTTTTGTTCAAACAATACGATATGATGGAGATATAAAATGGCGGTATGTAGAAGTGACGTAAATGTACATATAAGTAACTAAATATGTACATGTATATGTATATGTATGTATATACTTACACGTATGTTTGCGCCTTTAGTGGCTTATACACATAAATATTTCGCTTCTGGTTAATTTTTAATATTTTTTATTTAAACTGCCGATAAAAGCTTTATGCTGGGCCTTCGTAGGTAGCAAGTTCAAGCAAGTCCTTCTGCACCTTGTCATTCGAACGGCGTGTAGAGGTTTCTGGATTCACCTGTGGATTAAAGTTTTGAGTGTTTTCACCCATCTAGACGACAAGACCGAGACAGTGTAGTCGCTGTGCTGCATGAACACAATGAACACTCTACTGGCGTAGACACCGCTTTACGCAATTTTGGTTGAATTAATAACCTTGCGCCTTTCATTACTTTTTCTCCCTGCCTGGTGCCAATTGGAGATACCAAGTATAGCCAGGTTCCTCTTTACATGGTATTTCCAACGGAGAGGAGGACTTATCCATCCGGACCACATGACATAGCCAGCGTAGTCGCTGTTTCTTGATTCGTTAAACTACAATTATCAATGTCGCCGTATATCTCGTACAGTTCATCATTCCATCGGCTGCGGTATTCGCCGTTACCAACTCGTAGACTAAAGCAAATTTTACGCAAAACTTTTCTCTCGAAAACTCCTTACGCCGACTCATCGGACGTTGGCATCGTCCATGCTTCCGCACCATATAGCAGGACGGGAACGATAAGGTTCTTGTAGAGTTTGGTTTTTTCTGGTGTTAATACTGATTCCAAGATAGACGTAGCTATCTACGACTTCAAAGCTGGAACTATCAACAATGACGTGGGATCCAAGTCGCGAATGCGATTACTGTTTTCGTGGTGGCAAATGGTATTTTGTCTTGTCCTCGTGCACTACTAAGAAAGTAGAAACCACAGCACGGTGATGTCAACATCAACTGCGTACGCCAGCAGCTTTATGCTCTTATAGAGGACTGTACCTTCCCTATTCAACTAGACAGATTGAACTTTTTTTTCCAGCAATATATTGAAGAAGTCACATGACAAAGAGAATACTTGTCGGAATCATCTTTTCACCTCGAACGACTCGGTAAGGTCCTTGTGCTTCGATCCTCTTTTTACCGGTCTTTTCCATGATTTGGCGCTTGGTGAATATCTGGTCAATAGTCAAACTAGTAAGGAATAATCAGTTTGTTGCTGGGAAATTTATTACATATATATTTAACACATTTGGTCACAATGACAAAGAGATGGTGGCGGTCCTGAACACAGAACGATGACCAGATTTATAAGGGTGTTTCCGAATGTTGCCTACTAGAAAAGTCTGCAGCTCGACCATCACGTGATCCACATATTCGAGCATCAATGACAGTTTAGTTGTGCACTTCATAAGTTTTCGGTGAAATCGGAAAGCGTACCACACCTTTGAAAAAATTAAGATCTGTGTTTTTTTTTTGCAACTCAATTTGCGCGTGTTATCCCATTGTGTTTAATACCAC